AGAGTATAAGTGTTTGCAGAATGAAGATAAATGTAAAGTTGTCAACCAGTCCCTAGGACCTCCCTGAAGACCTGTCTTTGTGGCAAACAAAAACTCCCAAGCTAAGGGCCATCCATCATATATTTTAAAGTGAGGGAGGAAACCGGAGTACCCTGAGGAAATCCACACAGGCATAGGCAATGCATGCAAACTCCAGGCAGGTAGTGCCGTGGTTGGGATTCCAACTGATGACCCTAGTATGGATCAAAATTTGGCCAGTCCCTGGTAGACTGGCCAAATTTTAGATCCATGTATGGTCGGCTTAAGACTTTCAACTTCTTAAAAATGTAATTTTCTAACTGTTCCATGGTGCTGTCAATGCCTTCCCTCCACATTGTCTGAAGAGCTCAGGACTGCAATTGAGCCCAAATTGAAAAGCACTGAGGACCATGCGCAGATACAGTGGGGCAAAAAAGTATTTAGTCAGCCTCCAATTGTGCAAGTTCTCCCACTTAAAAAGATGAGAGAGGCCTGTAATTGGCATCATAGGTAAACTTCAACTATGAGAGACAAAATGAGAAAAAAAAATCCAGACAATCACATTGGCTGATTTGGAAATAATTTATTTGCAAATTATGGTGGAAAATAAGTATTTGGTCACCTACAAACAAGCAAGATTTCTGGCTCTCACAGACCTGTACCTTCTTCTTTAAGAGGCTCCTCTGTCCTGCACTCATTACCTGTATCAATGGCACCTGTTTGAACTTGTCATCAGTATAAAAGACACCTGTCCACAACCTCAAACAGTCACACTCCAAACTCCATTATGGTGAAGACCAAAGAGCTGTCGAAGGACACCAGAAACAAAATTGTAGACCTGCACCAGGCTGGGAAGACTGAATCTGCAATAGGCAAGCAGCTTGGTGTGAACAAATCAACTGTGGGAGCAATAATTAGAAAATGGAAGACATACAAGACCACTGATAATCTCCCTCGATCTGGGGCTCCACGCAAGATCTCACCCCGTGGGGTCAAAATGATCACAAGAACGGTGAGCAAAAATCCCAGGACCACACGGGGGGACCTAGTGAATGACCTGCAGAGAGCTGGGACCAACGTAACAAAGGCTACCATCAGTAACACACTACGCCGCATGGGACTCAGATCCTGCAGTGCCAGACGTGTCCCCCTGCTTAAGCCAGTACATTTCCGGGCCCGTCTGAGGTTTGCTAGAGAGCATTTGGATGATCCAGAAGAGGATTGGGAGAATGTCATATGGTCAGCTGAAACCAAAATAGAACTGTTTGGTAGAAACACAACTCGTCATGTTTGGAGGAGAGGGAATGCTGAGCTGCATCCAAACAACACCATACCTACTGTGAAGCATGGGGGTGGCAACATCATGCTTTGGGGCTGTTTCTCTGCAAAGGTACCAGGACGACTGATCCATGTACAGGACAGAATGAATGGGGCCATGTATCGTGAGATTTTGAGTGCAAACCTCCTTCCATCAGCAAGGGCATTGAAGATGAAACGTGGCTGGGTCTTCCAACATGACAATGATCCCAAACATACTGCCCGGGCAACGAAGGAGTGGCGTCGTAAGAAGCATTTCAAGGTCCTGGAGTGGCCTAGCCAGTCTCCAGATCTCAACCCCATAGAAAACCTTTGGAGGGAGTTGAAAGTCCGTGTTGCCCAGCGACAGCCCCAAAACATCACTGCTCTAGAGGAGATCTGCATGGAGGAATGGGCCAACATACCAGCAACAGTGTGTGCCAACCTTGTGAAGACTTACAGGAAACGTTTGACCTGTGTCATTGCCAACAAAGGATATATAACAAAGTATTGAGATGAACTTTTGATATTGACCAAATACTTATTTTCCACCATAATTTGCAAATAAATTCTTTCCAAATCAGCCAATGTGATTGTCTGGATTTTTTTTCTAATTTTTTCTCTCATAGTTGAGGTCTATCTATGATGCCAATTACAGGCCTCTCTCATCTTTTTAAGTGGGAGAACTTGCACAATTGGTGGCTGACTAAATACTTTTTTGCCCCACTGTAATTCCAAAGCAGCTGTTGCCATTAACACCCTCTGTGAGGCTAGTGTTCAAGCTGGTGGCCTTATCTTGTACAAAAATATTTTTTTTAATTATTGCACAGGGACAAGGTGATGCTTAGGTTGGAACTTTCTTTATTTTAAAGGTAGTACCTAGGTTGCATTCCCATTCCAGCCTGTGTTTGCTTCGCCTTACCATATTCACTGCTAACATCCCATACAAGCAATTTTGTATATATAAAAATTTCCTGTTAAGGTAAAGAATGAAACTAAAGGCTTCAAAGAGAACATCTGTCTTAACCTGACATGGCCACATTTAATGTATAAAGGATTTGCATAAACAATTTACATGACCAACAATAATCCATTGTATGTGCTTTGCATTATATTGCTCCTGTATATATATAAAAATAATATATTGTGGAAAGAGCGGCGGGGGTCTGGAAAGGTTTGCAAATGAAGGCATAGTTGAATATTTTATTTGCAAAAAGTGGCAACAACTGCCATAGAGATGAAGCAAGCACAGACCAGTAAGGAAAAATATCAGTCATCCAGAAAAAAAGAAGTGACATTGTTATGCATGTAGAACAATGATTTGAATACAGAATCACTGGAAACAGACAGGAATCCAGGGAGAATCTCTCCAGGTGGGACATGGTAGTAAAAACTTGCTTTCTGTCCAAAACAATGAAAAATGTTTGGGCTTCCCTATTCCGGACGAAGTCAAATAGTCTGTATAAAGCCCACTTATGCCCCTTGTATACTGGGCTGTCCAACTGCAGTGCGCCTCTCTTGGTATTTTAGTACACCTGGGATGGACAGCTGCAGCTAAATGCTGCACCAAGTGGTTCCGGCATTTAGGGATCTGTCCATTCAGGGACAAAGGTCCAGCACACAGGTACAGCATTCAGCTCCATCCAGACACAGTCAGCTGTAGACTTTGACAGGCTGCTCACAGTGGGAGGGATGCACTGCAGATGGATGAACCCATGTGCAAGGGGCCTACAGTTCTATCCTTGTATAATCACTGACTGAGGCCTGGCTGCTATGCACTTATTGGGAAAAGAACCTCAGGACCAAAACAGTGGGTCCTTTAGGGGGGTAAGTGCTACAGAATGAAAAAAAGCTTTTTTTTTATTCTGGATTCAGTTAACCACTTGCCCTCCAGAGGATTTTTTACTTTTTGCGCTATAAATAAAAAAAGACCAACAATTTTAAGAAAAAAAAACTATATTTTTTACTTTTTGCTATTAAACATGTCCAGTAAAAAAATTTAAAAAATCAAATTTTGGCATAATTTAGGGTAGAATGTGTTCTGCTACATGTTTTTGCTAAAAAAAAATCCCAATACATGTAAATTAATTGGTTTATTATTATTATACAGTATTTATATAGCGCCAAAAAGTTTGCTCAGCGCTGTACATTATAGTGGGGGACAGTACATGAGACAATACAGTAACAATACAATACAATACACGAGGGGTTCGAGGGCCCTGCTCCTTGGAGCTTACAATCTAGGAGGGAGGGGATAGTGGTACAGGAGGAAATGGCTGTTGGGGGATGGAGTGGTAGGAGGAGATCGGCTGTTAGGTGAGGGCGGGGTAGGCTTCCCTGAAGAGATGGGTTTTCAGGGTGCGCCTAAAGGTGAGGAGGGTAGATGACAGTCTGATGGATTGGGGTAGTGAGTTCCAGAGTATGGGGGAAGACCTGGAGAAGTCCTGGAGTCGGGCATGGGAGGAGGAGACCAGGGAACTGGAGAGTAGGAGGTCTTGTGAGGAGCGAAGAGTACGTGTTGGGTGGTATTTGGATATCAGGTCGGTGAGGTAATTTGGGGCAGAGTTATGAATAGCTTTGTACGTCAATGTTAGTAGTTTGAATTTTATGCGTTGGGCAATCGAAAGCCAGTGGAGGGATTGGCAGAGGGGGGTGGCAGATACGGAGCAGTTGGTAAGGTGGATGAGTCTAGCCGCTGAGTTCAGGATTGACTGAAGGGAGTTGCAGTAGTCGAGTCGTGAAATAATAAGGGAGTGAATGAGTTTAGTAGTGTCTGGGGTTAGGAACGAACGTATTTTGGAGATGTTGCGGAGGTGGAGCCTGCATGAATTTGCCAGCGATTGGACATGGGGCTGGAAGGATAGATTGGAGTCTAAAGTGACGCCTAGAACTTTGGCTTGTGGGGTGGGACTGATGGTGGCGTTCACGGGCGGACTGACAACTCTTAGGGCCCCCGGGCAATAGGGGATCATGGGGCCCCTGTGTCCTTGCCCAAACTTTAAAAAGCCTATGAAAAAGGTACCAGGGGCATCTCATGGGGCCCCCTACTGACCCCGGGCCCTCGGGCCCTCGGGCAGTGCCCGAGTTTCCAAATGGTCAGTCCGCCCCTGGTGGCGTTATTGGTCGTGATGGAGAGGTTAAGGGGGGGGGCAAGGGCTGGGGGGAAAACTAGGAGCTCAGTTTTGGAAAGGTTTAATTTGAGGAAGTGGAGTGACATCCAGTCTGATATGTTGTTCAGTAGGCAGGTGATTTGGGCGGAGACTGAAGGAGTGAGGCAAGGGGTAGAGAGGTAGATTGGCATGTCATTGGCGTAGAGGTGGTAGTTGAAGCTGTGGGAGTGTATCAGTTGGCCAAGGGAGGAGGTGTAGATGGAGAAGAGAAGGGACCTGAGAACAGAGCCTTGGGGGACCCCAACAGAGAGGGGGAGAGAGGGGGAGGTGGCAGCATTAGGTAACGCTGAAGGAGCGCTGGGATAGATAGGAGGAGAGCCAGGAGAGAGCGGAGTCTCTGATGCCGAGGGAGTGTAGTTTTTTAAGGAGGAGGGGGTGGTCAACTGTGTCGAAGGCCATGGAGAGGTCAAGGAGTAGGAGGAAATGTTTATGTGAAAGTTATAGTGTTTACAAATGGCAGTATATATATTGGAATTTTTTTCTTTTTTTTTACTAGTAATGGCGGCGATCAGCGACTTATAGCAGGACTGTGGCGGGCATTCTGACACTGGGGGGGAACTGACTTGGTGTCACTGACATCCCCAGGGACACCATAACAGTGATCAGTGCTAATAAAAAGCACTGACACTGTACTAATGACACTGGGCAGGAAGGGGTTAACATGTGGGGCGAGCAAACGGTTAACTGTGTGGTGTGTGTGTTTTCACTATGGGGCTGTGTGAGTGCTTTCCATTGAAAGCACATCGCTTTGTATGGCTCTGCTATTCAGAGCCATACAAAGCAGTGTGCTGGAGCTGAAAGGGGAGAGAATTGTATTGTTTACATACAGTTCTCTCCCCCATCGGTATTACTCAGCGATCACAAGATGCCGGCGAGTAATCACAGGCCATGACCCGGTGATTGACATGCCGAGGCCGCGAATGGCGACATGGGTAGGTCTACCCGTAAATGCAAAATCACGTATATATACGTGATTTTGTGCACCCCTGCCACCCTGTAGCAGTAATTCTGCTATAGGGCGGTGGTAAAGCGGTTAAGTAAACATGTAATATTACATATGAATATTTTATATTTACCAGCTGCAACAAGCAAGTAATTTTACAACTATCCTTTGAATAGGATGTCATTTGATCTGCTGTGTAGAACACATAACAGCTGAATAGGGCATTGCGAGGACTCTTTTCACCCGTATACATAGCTCTGTATAAAGTTTCAGTTTACAAATTCAGGAACTGAGCAGCTGTGGATGGGCTTGCTTATCAGAAAGCCCAGTATTCCACAGCCGCTGCAAATACTGTATCATGGAGGCACCCTGCATTATATGTTTATTTGTAAAATATAGAGCTGATTCACACATGTGCGGTGCAGATTGAAACTCAGATTTCACAGCTAATTGATACAGTAGTTGTTTAGTGGTTCATGTCAGGTTTACATCAGGTTCAGGACAGGATTAGCTCAGGATTATCCTGTTCATATGTGGTTTAGAAACAGTTCCCATAGAAATCAATAGCCTGTAATGCGCACCTGAACCGGATTGCACTACTCAGAAATCATACAGGACTCTTTTTCAAACTGCACTGAATCCCCATTGAATCCTCACCACCAGTGCACCAGAAGCAATGTTCACCATAGGAAGCAATGGCTCATAGGCTTAAAAACATTACAAAAAAATCACCTAGCACACACTGGATAGTACATGTGTATGCCAAATGTTTTCACAAGACAGTATCTCTGGCAACCTTGCAAAATGGTATTTTTCGACACATTCCCAAGTATACTTACACTGGCTAAATCTTTAGTGGTCACATCTTCTGACTGCCATCTCATGCCCATGGCTAGCATGATGTAGGACTTGGTTACTTAGTATGAGTCCTTAAAGTACACACATTAACCCTAGTCACAGTAACACAATGTAGGCACCTAACCTGCAGTGGTTGTCAGAATACAATAGGCACAGTGGGAAATTCATCCATTTATGCTGTTTAAAGCAATACTAAAGGCTTAATTTTTTTTTCTAAAAATAACAAACATGTCTATACTTACCTGCTGTGTGTAGTGGTGTTGCAGAAAGCAGCCTGGATTCTCCTCTTCTTGGGTCCCCTGCAGGCTCTCCTGGCCCCTCCCTCCTGTCGGGTGCCCCCACAGCAAGCAGCTTGCTATGGGGGCACCTGCTGCTCCATGTGTCCATTCACACATGGAGCCATAGTTCAGCCCTGCCCCCTCTCTCTGCTCATTGGCTCACTGGCTGTCTCAGCCAATGAGGAGAGGGAGACCAGGGATAGCTGATGCCCCAGTGCACATCGCTTAATCAGAAGGGGGCTTAGGTGGATATTAGGAGGGGCTGCTGCACAGGTTTTTTTTACTTTCATGCATAGAATGCATGAAGGTAAAAAAACTTGAGCCTTTAGAACCACTTTAAAGTGGTAGTAAACTTAATTTTTTAAAAATTGCTGACAGGCAGCTAAGCAAACATTTATGGGTCCAGATCTGTGCCTTGGCGATATGATTCCCATGCGCATGTGACATCATCACAGCCCAGCCATTCAAATGGCCAAGGGCACTTAACTCAAAAGAAAGACTGGGTGAAAATGGAAACACTGGGGGGACCACAGGATCGATCACACCGCAGCGTTGGAAGGTACTGTTTGACAGCTATGTCTGCCATAATGTGCTAATATGCTGTGCACACTAGCACGTTATGGCACAACCCACCTGGGAGCCATTAAAAAGAAAAAATGTAGTGGAGTTAACTAATACTTTAAGGTGGATAAAGGAATCTGTAGGCTTTTTTAGTTCAATCAGATTTGCACCAACCACCAATGTAATGGGCAGAAAAAGGAGGAGTAGAAAGAAGGTAGAGAGATGTTAAGAAAAAGAGAAGGCGTCCCAGGATTTTCTGGCCTCCGGGACAACCCCCCCACCAGAGATGAGGTCAAGAAATAACTATACAAGAAAACACAGCCAACTATTATGCCACATAAGCCAACCCCAGCCACTGGCAACCATTGAGAAAATGTGCATGGTGTAAGAGGTCATTCCCATAACGCATTATTGTATGAACTGTCTGTACAAGTCAGAGGTACTAAGGTCAATCCATAGCGCCCAAGTGTTGTCAGGGCTCCAGGTATGACCAGAGGTGTGTGGACTGACACAGGGAAACGCAGGTTTCAGGTATAGTATAAACAATACAATTTATTCAAGACTAAACAATACATAAACGCAGTGCAAGACTAAACATAAACACAGTGCAAACAAACCATACCTCCAACAGATAACAATAAGAACAATACTAAACGTAGTCGGGCAGGCCGGGTTGGTAGCAAACGGGCAGGCAAGGTACAAGGAGCAGGCAGAAGAGTAGTCAGGAATAGCCGAGGTCAGTACAGGCAGAGTTCAGGCAGAGTCAGGATTCAAGCAGGCAGGATCAGGATACAGGGGCCAAGGGAAACTATACACCAAGGCACTGACTGCAGGCCTGGCCACTCCTTAAATACACCTCCTGCAATCAGCCTCAGGTGATGACTTGATTGCAGGAGTGAGCTTCTGGCTGCTGAGAGCACCTGCTGGCCAGCCCTGGTACTGCAGCCCACACGGCAGGTGAGTCCCACCACCAGTGGTGAGTCCATTCCTGACAGTTATAATATTTATGATAATTATCTAAACATTGATGCCTCCATTTCTCCACTTGCTGAATGTCTTGTACTGTATCTTCAATAGCCATTCCTTAACAGTAGGAATGGCAGACCTCCAATATAGGGGTATAAGACTCTTATCAGCATTCAGAAGGTGGGAGCACCATGGAGCATTTATAGAAACCTACTGATAAGTGTGTATCATAGAAGAGCATCGGAAGTGGATCATCTGCTAGCCTATATTGGGTGGCTTTAGCAGTCAGTTCTCATATGTCAAAATGAAACCAGTGTGGATGTAATGCCTCTTGCAAAATCACACCCCTTTTAAATAAATGCCCCACCCTAATTAACCACTTGTCTACCAAGGCATGTTTATAAATGGTATGGTATAAAAGTGGTCATTTCAAGCACACACACCTGCTGCTGCTGCTGCTGCTGCTGCTGTAAGCTTGGTACCAGCATTAGGAACTGCTGAAGGGCTTTCCGATAAATTGATCCTTTTATGGGGCTCCCAAAGTATGCCCGCAGTTGGCAGCACCTGTGATGGCTCCTGGACTCTCCTGTTCCTCAGAGAGCCTGGGACCGCAGGAAATAATTTGCTCAGTGAGAGAAGGAAGAATTGGGAGAACATCCATTCCTCGATCCCTCCTGGGACTAATGACCACACCAGGGGCAGACTGACAACTCATGGGGCGCCCGGGCAATAGGGGATCATGGGGCCCCTGTGTCCTTGCCCAAACTCAAAAAAGCCTATGAAAAAGGTACCAGGGGCATCTCATGGGGCCCCCTACTGATCCTGGGCCCTCGGGCAGTGCCCGAATTTCCAAATGGTCAGTTCTCCCCTGGACCACACCAGTGTCACAGCTGTCATTCATTTAGCTTGTGTAGCCAAGGACGGAGCTATTCAAGAATGATTTGTGTGCGAAAAATTTTTACAATTGCCCCAGTAAGCAAGTGGTTGAAGTACATTCTCCACCTACATTCTCCTACATTCTCCTAGATTGTAAGCTCGAAAGAGCAGGGCCCTTGAACCCCTCGTGTTTTGTTTTGTTACTGTATTGTCTCATGTTCTGTCCCCCACTATAATGTACAGCACTGAGCAAACCTTTTAGCTCTATATAAATACTGTATAATAATACAATGACTTTCTGGACGCACAACAAAAAAAGTGTCCATGGAAATTTTTTTAAATTTTGGCAACTATGGAAATATGCTATCACTTTTTACCCATAAGGACAAAGACCATAACTGATCAGAGATTCTCACCCTTCCCTACTCCATCTTAAAAAAAGAACATGTTTTGGCTGGAATTGGGCTTCAACTCATCATAACCTATTTCTTATTTAGCACTGTAAAACTGTTGGCCATGGTAGTTTGTAGCTGTTCTTTTATCTAATGCTAGTAGATGGTGGCTAGATTTTTCATTGGCATGCATACCATTGGCTTTACTTTCTTTTTATGTCATAGACCTAGCATTTTAAGAAAGAGGTGTTCAAAGAGAGTTCAAATGATACAAATATCTATATAGTTCCAATGCTGCCCCATCACCATTTTTAAATTATATTTCTTTTATTGAGAATAAAATCCCAACCACTGCACCAGTTTGGACACTAGCTTCACAGAGGCGATGATGGCAACAAAGAGTTGCCTTGGAATTATCTGTGCATGGTCCTCGGCTTTAAAACAGCTTTTCACTTTGCATTCAATTGCAGTCCTGGGCTCTTCAGACAATGTGGAGGGAGGGCATTGAGAGCATCATGGAAAAGTCAGACAATTACATTTTTAAGAAGTTGGAAGTCTTAAGTCGGCATTACATAGATCTATAATTTGGCCAGTTCAGAAGGGACTGTCAACATTTTGATCCATACTAGGGTCATCAGTTTGAATCCCAACCAAGGCACTACCAACCTGGAGTTTGCATGATGTTCTCCCTGTGCCTGCATGGGTTTTTTCTGGCTACTCCGTTTCCTTCCACACTCCAAAGATATGCTGGTAGGTTAATTGGCCCTAGTATGTGTATATATGAATGTAAGTTAGGGACCTTAGATTTTACGTTCCTTGAGGGTTAGGGACTGATGTACAATATATGTAAAGCACTGCGTAAATTGACTGCGCTATAGAAGTACCTGAAATAAATAAATAAATAAAATGCTCAGAAATTGTGAGGATGTTGAAATATTTGTACTTTTTTTGCAAAATTGATTCTTCCAAGGAGATCTCATAGTTTTGCATGGTTGGAAAACACAAGAGTTGTTGTGCCATCTGGTGGTTAAAAGCGATACTAAGACTTTGTGTTGGTACCCTTGTGAACTTTAGAACATTTGAGA